GCAGCTGGAGGTGCTTTTTCAGTATAAGTCAGATCACATCAGTCCTATTTAAAATCTTCAGTGGCTCCGAGCGCAGGCGTTGACAGGATGGGTGTCCACCTGCCGCAACGTCCCGCTTTGAACCCCTCGACCGCCACCGGGGCCTTGCGGGACTCCCCGTCCCCCACGCCTGCTCAGGGCCCGTCGTCCGCCAGGTCCCCAGGCTGCCCGTGCTCACGCTGCTGCCAGCCGGCTTCCTGCCACGTTTATTTCACCTCCTCAGAGGCACCCAGACCGTGCTGCCTAAAATAAAGCAGCCTCTTCACCCCCACTGCTGCCTTCTCCCACACGACATCCTGTTTGCCTTTCTCGGAGGCACGTGCTGCACAGTAAAATTACCTCGGCCACGTCCTTGTTTCGTCTGTCATCACCAAAGGGGTGGAAATTGAGTCAGACCTCCACTATCATTCATGGGCGCCTTCCTTCAGCACCTGCAACAGCGCCTCACAGGACAGAGGCGGCAGCCTCACCTGCTGGGTGAAAGCTGGTCCCACGGCGGCTGCCAGTGCAGGGGCTTCCCCTTCCCTTGAGAATGAAGTCCAAGTTTCTGGAAATGGTTTCCGAGCCGCTGTGTGGTCTGACACGCTTATTCTTTAATCCATTGATCCCCACCCTCCCCCCCACCAGGAGGCTATTTGGGGTGTCTGGACCATGGTTACCCTCGCTGCAGGGGCTAGTGGCTTCTAGTGGACAGTCGCCAGGTGCTGCGGAACTGCAGGGGTGGTCTGGCAGGATGTCAGTGGTGCCGACTGGGGGTGCTGTGACCCCCAGCCTTTTGCCCCACTCTGAGTCGGACTGTGCTGAAAGGCTGCCCCTTCCAGCCTGCCCTCCTTGCACTCCTCACCCCCACCTGCGACGCCCCTCCGCTTCCTGCTGCCCCAGCTGCTGGCTCTGTGCCCGCAGAGTTTCAGGCAAATTGCTGTTTAGGCTTTCCTGCACGGAGGTATTTATTCCATTTTGGGTGTTGTGAATTTATAAAGGTAACTTTTTATATCAAGTAAAATGTAGCTAATTGCGTGTCCATACACAAACATTCTTCATATCTTTTTAGAGGACCAAAGCTTTGCTTCTGGAGATGACCTGTTATTCCTGTTACTTGCACAGAGGATGCCGTTTGGCATTGATGATAAAACAGCGCCTATGGAGCCTGTGACCATGGTGAAGCTTTCTCAGTTCTTACATCTGATGAGGGTGGTGAAATACGAGTAGATAAGTTCTCATCGCTTTGGCCTATGTAGTGTGTGCCATGCTTAAATATTTCCCTTTTACCCCTTTATAATGCTTAAGACAAGTATCTCTCCCACATTGCATGTAAATGTCAGATGGCACTTTACAGAACAAAAATGAGATTCCAGCCATTTAATAGAAACACTTGCTGATTACTGTCACAGCAGCTGACTATGACAATGTGAGTGATGCCAGTGTTGCTGTTTGGTTGACATCTGCCTGCCTTCTGTTAAAGACCCTTAGCTCTGCTCATCTTCTCCTGGCACCCCAGTATTCCGACAAAGGAAAACATTTGGAGGTGCTGGAATTTATAAGGACACTCACGTAGGATGGCAACGTTACCTGGGTGTTAGCATTTATGGGCAGTAAAATCGCAACTCACTAGTTTGTTTTAAAAGTACAATTTAGGGCCCTCCCTTGTGGTGCAGAGTTACAGTGCGGCACTGTGAGGCTTGGTGCACCACCTTCAGTGAGAGTTTGATCCCCAGCCAGGGAGTGACCCACAGGGCGCGGCAGACCTCTCCTGATCTGCCCACTGCTCCCCTCAGCAGTGTACTTCATCATTTGGCCTGTTCTGCTCCCCGCTCTGTCTCTGGTCAATCCTCTCACCACCCCTATACCTCTGGCCTATACCCCAGTTCTGTATATATAAATAAATCTTTTTAAAAAATAAATAAAACTACAATTTGCATTTTAGGATTTTCACATCACATGGATTTCTTGAAATACTGGTGCCTTTAACATAGTGCTCTGTGTGCATGCTGCTGAGTTTGTAGTCTATTTCAGACAGAGCAATGGAAAGTATTTATTAACACTGCTTTTTTTCCTATCAAATGAAGTGTTTCTTGCACTATTTTTTGAAGTTTTCCAAAGAACAAAACATTTTAACTCTAAAGGATAAAAATATTTTCTGCTTTTGCATATTTGTCTAACTGTGTTCCTAGGACTGTAGACATCTTGTGGTGTGTTCCATCTATAGCTTTAGCTTTATCTGAAATGTATGCATCACCCTGGCTTAGAAACCCCCAAGTGGGCACCTGTGTATTTCACATTTCCCTCATTCAGAACTCCTAACACCATGTGGATTTTCCAGCCCTGTCTTTATTTCATTTTTGGGGCCCTTTCGCCCTGCTTAACTCAGTTCTCCAGCGGTGTGCTTATTCTTTTATACCACAAACATTTACTGAATCCCTGTTCATGTACCAACAAACTCTGTTCTAGTGGACAGAACTAAATAAAAGGTGATTCGTTGGGTGTCAGAAATTCATAAGTATTTAATTGTGTGTTATAAACCCGTCATGGAGAGAGATACGAAAGATGTTGGTGACATAGGATTTTAAGAAATCAGTTCTTCGGGGTTATAGAAAATTTAGGAGAAGATGGAACATTTGGACTGGACTCCTGTCTAGAAAAGGGGGAGCGGGTGGGGAGAGCCCAGCGGGGGGAATGAATAGCTTAGCTGTCACCTCCTTGGCCCAGAGACTTGCAGGTCATCTGCGCATCTGAACCGTGAGGATGTGTTATGCAGAGTCCTGCCCTCGGCAATAATATGATGCTGCATTTTTAACAGATAATCAGAGGGTTTGCATTAGGGAAAGTAGAGCCGCCTGAGGCAAAAGTCCCCAGGACGCGCTCTGGCCATTTGACTGGGCACGTCCCAGTGGCCTACATCTGTCCCGAGGTCACTGTCCTTTCCTTTGTGTCTTGAGCCTTACTGTAAATAAAAAGCTGCTTTGTGTGAGTTATTTTTATTTTGGAGTGTTCTTTTTTCCTCAAAATTGATTTAGTTGTGGCTAAGGGGAGAAACTGAAGAGGTAGCTATCACAGAGATTGTATTTCTGAAGAGGTCCAAACTCTAGAAAGAAAATTACTATAGCAAGAAGCCATCTAGCTAAGAGTCTTTATGTCCTTGAATGTCATCTTGAAGGACACTTATCTTCAAAAATGACTTCACTGGTCAGAGGACTCATTATGGGAGCAGCATCAGGTGGGAGCTGACACAGGTCACCCATTTCAGGTAATGGCTGGGACGGAAGAAACGATAGCAGTCGGAGGTGGATGTTTTCAAAGGCTCCCTCTGAAATGTTGACCACCATTAAGTAGATGATCTTTTTTCTAATTTCGTTTTCCACTTGAGAGATCTGCCCGGTGTGGAGCGATGCCATGCATGTGGCGCCTTTACCACTTTCTGTCGTGGACGCGTGGCCCTGGGCCACCTGGACAGTGCCTCGCCCCTGCTAGCCAGCTGCGGGTCACACTGACACGGGATTGCAGGCGCTCCCCTAATTGCCATGCTGTTCCCATTCATGAGGTTCCTTTCATTATAGCTCCTTTCTTGTCAAGCATTTCAGTGGCAGGGAGAATAAGAACAACTTTTCAAGTCCTGAATGTAAAATGACTCATTCTAACAGAAATCGGCGTTATGAAACTGAAAAACTTTTGTTGCTGACTGAGGGGGCTGCATGTACTGAGCCCCATTAGTGCAGAGCATTTTGCTGTCCTAGAACAGAGGGAGGCTATGAGCAAGCTGTATACAGTCAGACGTAACGTGGGCAGAAAGCGCGGCATTGGTACTGGACTTCTGTAGCTAGCTGGGTTTGTGTTTCCCACGGTGCAAGTTGATGTCGCCTTCAAAATTTGAAATTCCTAAGTCTGACCAGAGAAATGCAGTGCAGGATAAGACATCAGATAGGACGGTGCTGTCGTCCTGGCGAATACTTTATATTCCTGCTTTAATCAGCAGCCCAGGGCATGCGTTGTGCCATCTTAAGGCGGTGTTAGCTGTAGCTTCATTTTAGCAGAAGGCTCCATCGGCCGCAGCTGGGAGGCATTTTCAACCAGGGCTGTTGCCAGCTTGCTCTGGCCCCTCCGAGCCCTCTGCCCCGCATCCACAGGACGCGCCCACGCGCGTGGGGTAGAGCAGTGACCGGCGACAGGCCGTGGGGTCCTCCACGTAGAGCTTCTCCAACTGAGCCCCACAAAACGGGAGCCGCATTCCTGTAGCGGCAGGGCGGTGGAGCAGAAGTCCTCTGGGAAACAAAGCCGGGGCCCCTCACTCTTCCAGGCGCCGCTCCGGCCTGACCGTGGCCCTGACTTACATCTAGCAGTGTTTGGCACCCGTATCAGCATACGTAACTGCGGGCCCTGCGGCGCCCCGCATGCATGACACACGCTGGCGAGACGCCCCAGAAGTCCTGCGCCGCCGCAGCCCGACACTCGTTGGGAGGAGCCGGACAGCGGGCACCGCGGCCGGCGAGCGCAAGTGCGTGGAGCCTGCCCCGCGC